GGCTGCAGGGACGTGTGGGTGCGGCGTGGGCTCGGTTCGCCTGTCTGCAGCCACCTCCCTCCCTTGCTCTGGTCCTCTCGCTGTGCCAGGCTGATAAGTTCGGGCTGATCCCCCGCCTCTTTTCCCAAGCTTTTGATTTCCTCCTACCAGCACCCCTTCACGACCCTGTCCCCACCTATTCCGCCTGCGCCCCTCCCACCCACGCTCTCTGGCCACCCCAAGTATGGGCTGCTTACTTGACCCCCCGCTCCCAGAGAGGCTTTCAGTTCGTTCCTGTCTCACCTTGCATTCCCTAACCTTGATCCAAGCCCTCGTTGTAATAAATGTGACTGATTAGAGTTCCCCTCCCCTTTCCTTCTCAAGTCCAGGGACTTGCTACCTCTGGGTTGGACTGGCTGGGGTGTCACTGCTGCCTTTCTCCCCTTCAGACGGACCATGGACGGCTCCTTCGTCCAGCACAGTGTGAGGGTTCTGCAGGAGCTCAACAAGCAGCGGGAGAGGGGCCAATACTGCGATGCCACCCTGGATGTGGGGGGCCTGGTGTTCAAGGCTCACTGGAGTGTTTTGGCCTGCTGCAGCCACTTCTTCCAGAGTCTCTACGGGGATGGCTCAGGGGGCAGTGTCGTCCTCCCTGCTGGCTTTGCAGAGATCTTTGGCCTCCTGTTGGACTTTTTCTACACTGGTCACCTCGCCCTCACCTCAGGGAACCGGGATCAGGTGCTTCTGGCAGCCAGGGAGCTGCGGGTGCCTGAGGCTGTAGAGCTGTGCCAGAGCTTCAAGCCCAAAACGTCAGTGGGACAGGCGCCAAGTGTCCGGAGTGGGCTGGGGAAACCTGCCCCCCAGGATGTGAACAGCCACCTCAAGGAGCCCTCAGGCTTGGAGGAAGAGGAAGTTTCAAGAACTCTGGGTCAAGTCCCCAAGGATCAGGAGCTCAGCAGCAGTCCTAGCCCCCAGAGGCCTCAGCTTGGTCTCCCTGCTCAGAGTGAGAGCCCCTCCTTCCTCCATGGGAAACTCAGGCAGGCCCTGAAGCTTTGTCCCCCTGCGGACAAGGAGTCTGAGGATTGCAAAGTGCCCTCCAGGCCCTTTGAGGCTGAAGGTGTCCAGCTGCAGGGCGGGAGTAATGAGGTATTGTGCTCAGGGTGCTGGAAAGGGGGAGGCAGGAGTGGAGAGAAGAGACTGACACTTTCCTGGGATAATCTGGACCCTAAGGTAGAATCTCTTCTGTGGGTCTGGGACAGGTTTTCTCCAAATATAGCTGGTTTTGTCCTGCAGCCTCAGGCTGACCTTTCTGTGAGGCATGGCTTCTTGGGGTGGAGTGGGCAGCATCAAGTGTTTCCCCAGGGTAGTGAAGTCCAGGCAAACTTCCAGTTACCCTCAAGTAAAGCTATTGCCCTCCAAGTCCAAGATGCGGATGCTGCCTGCCCTGGAACCATCCAGGGAATAGTCATGGATGAAGGGTCTTATCTGGGGATGTGCCTGGGTCGGGGCTTGGGATGGGCCTGGATGGAGCTGGCTGCCCTGTCGATCTGTCCCCAGAACCCCTGCTGATTAATTTGGTGACCTCACTCCCTCCTGCTGCCTATTCTGCTCTAGTGGGAAGTGGTGGTTCAAGTTGAGGATGACGGGGATGCCGATTACGTTTCTGAGACTGAGACTGTGCCAGCCAGGAGGAAAGCGAACGTACTCAGAAAGCCCTGTGCTGCCGAGCCGGCCCTGAGCGCAGGTTCCCTGGCAGCCGAGCCTGCTGAGAACAGAAAAGGTACAGCGGTGCCGGTTGAATGCCCCACATGTCATAAAAAGTTCCTCAGCAAATATTATCTAAAAGTTCACAACAGGTAAACGTTCTGTTTTTCTATTTTCTTTTCTTGTCTGCTGTTCCCATGTTGGGGGAGGGGGCCTGCATTCCCCACTTCTGGGCCATGTAGGGGTCAGGGGCTCCATCTCTGACCCACATAGTGCCTGACGTTAGCAGGCGTCTGCTCATCAGGAAGTGAGAACCTGACCTTGGTCGGCTTCCTTCTTTCTCCCCCTCCTCCTTGGAGTGGGTTTGTGGACCTTATCAACAGGTTCCACCCACTGCGGACCTTGACCTCGAACTGGCTTCTGCCCAGGGGATGAGAGAAGCCTGTGGCTCTGTGCTGTGGCTGAGGCCTGACCGTAGGTATTTCTAAAGCCTGGCAGTGTGGGCTTTGGGCCAAGTTGTCAATTTTTAGGTTTGGTGCCATCTGCATTTCTGGGGAGAGGTTAGCTCTAAGATGTCAGCTCAGTGTCATTAAAGACCATTTGTCTAAAGCTGCAGTGTCCAATAAGGTAATTAGATGTCACACGAAGATATTTTAACTTGGAAGTTATTAAAATTAAGGAAGTTCAGTTCCTCAGACATGCTAGGTGCATTTCAAGGGCTCGGTGGCCACATGTGGCCCCTGACTGCCAAATGCAACAGCAGAGGCAGATGGTTTCCATCATGCCAGAGGGTCCTCTTGGACGGCACTGCTCCAGAGTCCCTGCAAGTCCTCCAGGAATGGCATCTAGGTGACCTGACTCCCTGTCCTGCCCCTCCCTGGCCCAAGACATCACTGGTCCACCACTGTGCTGTTTCTTGCCAAGCCAGATTGCGCCATACCCGTTTTCTCAGTATGAAGCTCTGGGAAGCCACCGGCAACCGAATAGGGTTGGAATTGGGAGTGAAGCCCGTTTGTTCTCCCTGTTTGGGGGCAGCTGCTGCCAGTGGCATCTTCAGGGAAGTCACCATCCGGTGGTCCGTGTCTGCCTGGACACTCCCCCAGTGTAAGACACGGGTGCAGGCAGGGTCCTCACCCTACCTTGGGCTGCAGGCTGCTGGACTGGCCCTGAGAAGTGGGAGGGAGTGATGGCCTCCTGCGGTCACTGGGATGGGGGACAAGGACAGTCAGTGTAGCAGCAGACGATAAGAGGAGTGTGTGGCCTCTGGCAGGTGGTGAGAGCTCTCCCAGGGCCGCTCACGTGCTCTGAGGTCAGGGTTCATTTTGTTCATTCAGTGAGCTGTCTGCCAGGAGCTGGGCACTGGGGATACCTTAGTGAACAGAACAAAGAGGCCTTGTGGAGCTTGCCTTCCAGCAGGGCAATGAGACTCTGAACTACCAGATAAGTGACTTCGCAGTGTGATGAAGGACTGGAAGTGCCACAGAACAAAGGAGAAGGACAGCAGGGCTAGGGCAGGGAGTTCAGGGTGGGGTCAGGTTGTGATACTAAAGAAAGTCCTGCAGACTCAAAGGAAGTGAGGATGGCTTGGGAGAGCGCTCTGGGCCTGAGAGGAGCCAGAGCAGAGCCTCTGGGTTGTCAGGGAGGCCAGGCCGGGGACCGAGTCTGGCGAGGTACAGGGCAGGCCAGCAATACCCTCATAGGCCCCCAGGCCTTTCTCAGGGTGAGATGGAAAGCTTTAGAGGGTTGTGAGCAGAGGTGATGAGATCCGACCATACTTAAGGGCCCCTCTGGCTCCTGAAGTTAAAATGTGTGTGTTGGTTGGGAAGGGTATAGCTCAGTGGTAGAGCGTGTTCTTAGCATGCGCAAGGTCCTGGGTTCAAGTTCTCCAGTACCTCCATTCAAAAAAAAATCTAC